AACATAGTGGGAAAAACAATGTTTAATACTTGGTACAGGATTCTTCTCCTTCCCAATTCATCACCAAACGATTATTGATGCTAATGTCTGAAATTCCATTTAATCGATGCAAGATGTGTGATTACCAGAGCCCCCTCGGCCGCCAATTTAAAGTCTTTTAATCTTTAAAATTGGCGTTTCCACTTCCCGGGACGAGGACACAGGGATTGGATTTGTGGGAAGCGTGTGTTCGGGTTGTTTCATTGTGTCGAATTACACAGAACGAGGCGCTTGACGTGTAAGTGCGTGAGTGCGAGAATTCGAGTAAAGGTTAAACGGTGTATATCTTCGCGTACAGTGGTGTTATGTCCGTGCGAGTTTCTGTATGTGTGTGATCGAAGAACATCTTCGGCATGTCTATAAACAGAAAACAGTAAATTACGATACGACAATAAGATGTGTTAAGAAATGAAACGAAAGAGTTCTTACCATCGGAAAATATTCACTTCTACGATAAATGGCCACTCGGTCCTCTTCGTGGAAAAGTTGAGGAGGGGGATTCTTCTCCCTCCCAAATGTTCCTACAAAACACAAAGGCAGTGAGAAAACGAGAAGTTTATTCATTTATTACCTAAGGTCAAGATTATTACCTTAATCAGACAGCCTTTCTTCCCGAACAGTGTTACGAGAAGAGCGAAGGACCTGACCTAGCCTAGGCTAACCTAACGAACCTTAACCGGAAGCTCAATCCTCATAACAGCTGTTTGGGAAGAAAAATCGGCCGAATGTCGCGTCCGGTGAAGCAACGTGTCAAGTCCGTGGGTCACGTCCGTTAAAAGGTGTCATGTCCGGGTGAAAAGTGTCGAATCCGGTAAGAAAGTCGCATCCGGGTGAAGAAGGGGAAATCGAAGAAGATCACCATATAGGCCAAGGCAACCGCAGCCGTCCGCAGCAACAAAACCACGGACAGCACGGTCCCTCAACTTCGGGGGCTCGCTCCTCCGACTCCTCCCCGTTCCGACTTCGGCAAAGCGGTGGCGTCGCCGTCGCGGACGAACGGACAGAACGCCACCAAACAGAAAGTGTCAGCTCGGACGAACTGTCACTTTCAACATCCTCCACAGCAAGGTCTGTGGCCGGATGACCCCCGAAGACCTCGGCCAAGCGCACTGGACCCAGAGTGTAGCGTCGCATCATCCCGACTCCGGGAGTATGCCACGCCACGGACTAAGACTTACCTAAAAAATCTTCAATCTTCTCTGTAAAAGTCTTTAAATTGCAAAAAACAGCACGCAATCAAAGAGCGAAAGAAAAACACGTCCGATCACAACGAGAAACACAATCGAACTGCGATTCGTCATGTGTGACGTATTTCGAACAAACGTTAAAAAACGCGTCAACAATGTTCGAATTTCGTAAAAATTAGAATTTTAAATTTTTTTTTTAATTAATTAATTTATAATTATTTTTCTTTTTTAAATTTGATAAATAAATTATTTTCTGCATTTACATGGTGCAGAATGTCGACCGTGGAAAGGTAAAAGACGATCTTTTTAAATTCTACGTCTCGAGGCTTGACCATCTCCGAAATTCGTTCGTCCATTTTCGACCATGGAATGAAATAAATCAAATTCTTAGGATTTCCTCGGTCGCCGTCGGGGTTGCGGGTTTCGCCTATTAATGCAACATCAAACTGGATAAAGTTCATATTAAAAATACCGAAAAACGAACGAAAATTAAGTCCATGACAACGGGAGATCGATACAGAGGATAAACAGATTGAGCTAGGGGGAAACTATTATTCTTTCTCCTTGAATTTCTGACTTTTTAAAGGATCTCTCCCCTAAATTCTTAATGCGATCGCTTAATCAATTTGACACGTCCGCAAGTGTTGATCCAACTTTGAAACTTTCGCTCGTACCTCTCGTGCCATGATATTTTATTTCCTGACCGCTGAGAATTTTCTTTTACTTACAACGCGACAATTTTGCTTTGGGAGGAATGCTACATTTATTTCCAAATTTCGTCATTGTCGTCCGTCCGCATGTCTTAACCTCGAGAACGGAATTATATGAAATCCGAGACCAGATGTGGAAACTTTAGAGACAGGAGGCCCCAATTAACTATATATGATCTTCCGATTCAAACTCCAAGTCTCGTTTTTTTTTTTCAATTCCGAACGTCAGTTAACAGATGACTATTGTTAACGGAAAAGTGTGATGTAAAGGGGAAAGCCACTACTAGCTTGAGATATTTTGAATGAAATGATTTCAAAATATAATTAAGAATTGCAGTCCGGCATTGTGACCGTGTCACAATAGACAATTGCTCGTAGTTATCGTTTGTTTGTGAAAATATTTACGATAAAAACTAAATTTCGATCTTTGTCGTGTTATGAAGCAGAATATCAAAGTTAAAATCCTTCTGAGAGGTAAAAAGGAGTTAATAATTGCGAGAAAAGACATTTTTCCATCAAAAATAAACAAAGAAAACATGCCAGTAAGTGCAAGAGATTGATGTGTAGAAACTACACCATTAAGATGTGTACAAATTGTGCACTATATCCATCATTGTGGATACCAAAAGTATATTAAGATGAACTAACCTTTTGTTCGTTATGTTGGAGACACTGAAGCCATGATGCGCGAATAGAGACCAATCCGAAATAGGCGAAATAAAGACAACTGTTTTAATCTCGGTCTCTGTTAATTATCCATAATTAAGAAAGACGTGATAGATATTACTATTCTGACAATTGGAAGAAGAAACCTTCACTTATAACTTTTTATACGCTCTCCAGCCTGACGAAATAGAGTCTGTCTCCTTGAAGTTAACTACCAAGGCTTTGTACATTTCTAACCATTCAAGTTGTTTCGGCCGAAGCACTATTTTCTCTCGATGGCGTTCTTTCCATTTCTAAGGAGTGAGGAAATTGTAGGGTTCCTCTAAAAGCCTACAATTTCCTCACTCCTTACAATCCTGTGCTTATTACATCGGGCTATCTGCTTATAGATAGAACAGAGGGTCTTGTGTTGTGAACAGTTCACTTATAAGTTACTGTAGGCCTATTATCGTACAATTTAGGAAAATCGCTGCAGAAAAAAAATTGCCGTCAACTTTGATGTTATAAGCAATGATGTAACGAAACGATGACGTCATCTATAAAAAAACTGACATCATTCAACAATTAAAATGCAAATACACGGTAAGTTACATAGGCGTACAGTGGGCTTTTGCATGAAACATCTTGCCTTCCGATTCAGTTATTTAAAATCACGTAAATGATAAGAATTACTTAATGTGATAATTTCTGCAAGGAACATAAAAAATGTACAGATAAACTTAAAATTTGTAGATTAACTAGTCTTGGGAATTAGAGGGGTGCCACATATTCTTAAATTTATATCTGTACATTTGGAAAATGAAAATTTGATGGTAGCACTCTTGGTTATATTTGCGGTACCACTGTTTACAGAAGAAATTTTTGCCTGTTTGATTGCGTTTTAATAGGGTATGTTCAAAAGAGTGTACACTAAGAACGGATTTTTCGAAATTCTCTCCAGCGGGGAGTGTTATTAATTTATAATAGATACATTTGGAGCCACAGCAAGACGTGGCCAAGTACAGCTAATTAATAATATAAAAGTTAATTTTAACAAAATTCAGTTTAATTTTTTGCTAGGTCTCTTAGTTTTTTCGCAACTCGGGAAAATTACGCACTCGTAGCAGAACATTTTATAATTTGTGCGCTCAACGACAAGAAAACTTATATTTGTTAAAACATGCTTATTATTTGAGTGAAAGAGGTTGGAACAGTGAAATTTTTTTAATAGAATGTGGAGTCGAACACCTTATTTATTGTGTAATTTATGTTATAAAATAATGTCATTTGCTGCACAATTTACAATGAATAGGTTTTCGGTAAACCTAAATAGTAAAATTTTTTAACCCTATTTGTAATAACACCTGATATATTAAATAAAGATTGATTGGTTGAATATTTTATAATTACAAGTTAATTTGAATTTAATTGTTGATTATTGAAAACAAAGTAAAAGTATTAACTGTAGATTAAATATTTTTGTAATAAAATTTAATTGCAGGAGAAAAACGATAAGAGTCATAAAACTAAACAGTAATTATGAGCATTAAAATACTCCAGATGTTGATAGAAATTTTGCGACCTTACTCTAATAAGTTTTGAACAATAAGCGATTTTATTGTTTTTTTTTTACCTCTACGTAATACTTACACATATTGTTAAATTATAAAATTAATATATTAATATTAATAATATTATAATTTAATATTTGGTAAAAATTTTCAGTCGAAAACTAAGTGTAAAAGTTAGTTTAATAGTAAATAATTAATTAAATTAAATTAAATTTATTGTCATATGAAACAGAATACGAAATTTTTGTATTTTCTTAATGAGCACTTTTTGTACCTAAAAATAATCATTTAATTAATATATAGTTGAGGAAAACTCATTAAAATATCTAAGAGAATGTAGCGTTTTTCTTACAAACTAATTTCTGAATTTGTTTAGCTTTATAAAGAAAATATTTAATTAATTTGAAATAAAAATTAGTTTGTTATAATCTTAGAATTAGTAATTTCCTTCACCTTTGAATTGGCAGAAGTGGATTAATGCCGAATATTTTTAATTTCGATAAATGTAATTAAAATTGCAATTTAACTTAAAAGTTACTTTTGTATATTTTTATATATAAAATTATTTATTTTCTATATTTTATGAGTGCTACTGTTTCTTCTTGATCTATTTTTTTAATCACCTTTTGAACGTACACGTGCCTTATCGATAAAACTATTTTTATGTTTTATTTTCTACTCTTAATTCATTTTATGTCTAAATATAATATTCAAGAAGTTTTAATGGCATTAAATATTTATTAAAATAAAATAAATTTAACGATAGTTTCTATTGGTCGATATCATCATTACATTCTTGCAGACGACTTTATATACGAGTTTCATGCACGAAATTTCATATTCGTCTTAAAATATTAAAGTATAACCTCATTTATAATAAAAGGTGAGTATAAATGTTTTAGTTTAAATTTATTTTAATTTATTGTAATTTTACAGAAGTTATCATTGTGCTGATAAATAAGTAAATTAAACGAGCAATTGTTCATTGTGTCGTCGTCATAATGCCGGACTGCAATATCTAATCATATTTTTAATTTATTTAATTTAAGATATATGCTTTACACCTGAAATTAGTAGTATCTTCCTCTGTACAGCATACTTTTTATGTTAACAGTTGAGTCGTGCCGCTCATCAATCTAACTTCTTTCCGAGAAAAGTTTTTGAATGCTTATAACGTGACTTTTGGTTAGTACTAGAAGTACGTATAAATTTAATCGGGGTCTCCTTCCCCAACGCGTTTCAAATCTGATCTCGACTTTTATCAGCGTAATAGAGTTTCGGAGATTCAGGAAGGACAGACATTCAGTCGACAGTGAAAATTTGTAGGTCTACAAATTTTTAATTTGCTGTACAACAACTAACTTCTAGTATTCAGTTTTAGCGAACGTTTTCTCTTTAGTTGCAAATGCTGGTCACTAAACTCTATGTCTTTAATGATCAACACTTGCCAGCCAATTAACACTTGTTTAATTTATTTTATTTGGAGTTTTATTAAATTGATTAGGTTAAGATTATTCTAATACGACAGAGTTTCCTTACAGTTGTTTCTGTTTAACGAATGAATAGAACAGAATGCCATTTCTATTTTCAAATACAGTCAAATCTCTCAACAAAGGCCTCTGATATAACTGAACGAAGTGGCCATTGTTTGAACGTTACTTTCTAAGCTTCTCAAAAAAAGAGTTCCGGTTAGAACAGTGCCTATTCACCGATGTGTTTTATTGCAGATTTGATCACATTTGCAAAAATCTCTGAACTACGATGTTAAGAAAATCATATAACAATTAAAAGTTCATTCAGTAATGCCTATTTTGATACCCGATATTCATCTTTGTCACAATGCAGTTAAATCTTCTTTAGAATTTTAATTTAATTAATTTATATAATTTTATTTATTATTTATTTGCGTTATAAAGATATATAAAATTAAATATTATAAATAACTTCATATTTTTTTATTTATTTTAATAGTTATTGTAGATTAACAGTATTCGTCTAAGTGACAACACGATGCATTTGCGTGGAATTCTTTTAATTTTCCTATTCTTGACATTAGTCGATAGTAAGTTAAAATTAATTATTAATTCCAAATTTATTTTGAAACAAAATATTTATGTACCTTTTTTTTTCTTTTAAGCTGTTTTCTGTTTTAAGACAGGGGGAAAATGTAAATTTGTCCCTTGTGTCATGTATTGTCGGGGACAGAATCAGAAAGGAAGATGCGTAGATGACAAATGTAAATGCTTGTGAGTGGTAAAATGATAGAGAAAATAAAAGAAGAAATAATTGTTCAATAAAAAAATTATAATGAATCAAAGATTTATGTTCGTGTTTTTTAACTGTCTCTGAATACTGTACATTTCTACTTATTTCACGCATATAACATACATTTTGGCATTTGGTATGCTTATTTTCTGTTAAAATACTTTGGTATGCTTAGACTCTTTAGAGACTAAGCATACCAAATCCGCGAATTTGCTTAGACTCTTTAGAGTCTAAGCAAATTCGCGGATTTCACAAAAGTAGGTAAAACTAAATCCAAAAACTCTGCCAAAACCTTTACATTTCGGATGTATAGAGAAGAGAAGAACGTACAACTACGTTAAATAATATTAATTAATTCTTCAAATTACTCAATTTTGCCATATTTATCCAACTTTATCTCATCCGTAACGCTAGCCAAAAGTTCAGTTGTTTTTAAATCGGATCGCTACGCGCAAGGAAACGCGAGAAACGCGATTTTTTTTTGCGTTTCCTTGCGCGACAAAAATAAAAAAATTATTATTGAAAATAAAAGCTGTGAAACCTCGAAATTTTTTTCGTATTTCTTAACAATATCGTTTGCAGATTGTTGCAAATGCATTTATATAATAAAATTCCAAGCATTTTTTAAGTTATAAAGATAGTAATTTACACAATGTAAATCTTGGCGAATGTTGCCGAAATTTTGATGTTTGTCGCATTATATTTTCGATCGCTTTATTTCTCGCGTAGAAAACAGTTCTGTTTAAACAATATGCAAAAGTTTTTGATGTTTTCTATAATATTTCGAGAGACGTTTATTTTTGAATTTAGGTAATCGAGTTTTGATAAATACTTGACTGCAGTATATCGCATAATGTGAAATCCGGAATTTTTACCGATTTTTTTCCTAGAAACTACAGTGAAAAACAACTTGAAAGAAGGAAAAATTTCAACCTCCCCTTTTTTTCAAAGTAAACATTCGCCCATCTCGACAATATTCCCACAGTACGAACTTAAAAGTTGATAGTTAACATACGATTTCGTCATTTTATTTCGGTTCCGGACACAACTTTGACCTTCCCGCACACCATTTACCTCGCAACTAATTAGTCACATGACAGTTTTCCCACCGCGAAACTATAAAAGCCACTTCTCTTCCCCCCTCCGGGAGTCGCTCATTAACGGTGGTAAAACATTTTTCTTTAACTTGGTAGCCTGTTTTGAATCACGACGTCCCGGTGGATTTTTCCCCTCTCTTGGAGATCCAAATACATAAAAAAAATATGGAACCCACTTTTGTGAACTCTCTCTCGGCTCTACGCGCTTTAGGGACTCAGAATTTTCCCTCGATAATATTTATTGTACCGTCTATATAGATAACTAATAAATCGTTGTTTCCTTGTTAAATAGGTGTCCTCTTTTACTCTTATATCGCCTGTCACCTTACCGACGGCACTTCTCCCTCCTACACTCGACAAGACCCGAAAAATTAGTCCCGTTCCCTCGGGATAAACTAAAAATTTTAGCCATTTCTGACAAGTGGGCAAGTCCCTCCGACTCGAAAGCCGATCCACGGAGGTACGGCGTAGTCATACCCCCTCGGTTCTGTTATAGAACATAAGAGTGAGGACTCTGGAGAGGCAGCAATCATGAAGCGATGTCAACAAAAAGAAGCAGATGAAGGATTGAGGGTGCAATTTCCTAGCGGATTAAATGATCGTTTAAAAAGACCGGTGATGTCGAGGTAACCAAACACATTTGATAAGGCAGTACGAGTTGCTATCAGCGAAAAAACTATGGATCAATTAACAGGAAGATCTCGAACGATAATCCGAACTATAAATAATCCCAGTGATAACAGAGAAGAATTTAATGTTATAAATCAAAATCACTTAGAAGCAACCTTAGCGAAAATCCAGCTACGTTACTCCATAAATATCGGGAAATCGACTCGTTCAGCTTTAATGGTTTCTTAAGCCATTATCACTTAAAACAGCATGAAATCCCTAATCCTTTCCTTAACGTAAAATTATATTTGTTTCATTACTTCTTACACCCACCAAGTAAATAGTATTTACTTAATACAACAAAAGTTCCACAGCACGTTTCTTCTTTGTCTGAAACTTTTAGCGGGAATAATTAATATACTGTATTTTAAATAATTACGTTACTTATATATGCCTGAATAATTAGCTCTATAATATAGATCTATAAGAATTATTCATAATTCTTAGTGATCTATATGAAGAAAGCTTTTACGTTTATCATGTCTATTCTTGCACCACACGTTTAAGTATACTCCTCAAAGAAGGGAATTTATCTTCACATATGAAAGGGAAACTTAAGTGTTAAAAGTAATATTACATTGGGAATATGCATATACGATTTTATGTTCGAATACACAATGACAATCTTACCATTGTTTTCAACATGTAGTATAGAAAGTTGTTATAAGCAGTGCTTTGGAGTCGGAGTCGGAGTTGGAGTCGGTAGATTTTTACGCGACTCCACAGCCCTGGTTATAAGATACATACTGCAATGGCAATAAAATATTAATTTTAATTAATTCAAAGTACGTTAAAATATGAAAATAATCACACAATACTTATATTTATATTTTAGAAAATACAAGGAAAACGGCGTTTTACTGCTTCCACGGACGTCACGCCACTGATATATAAATACTGTATATGGTTTACTTTTAATATTAATTTTATTATTAATTCTACTCCAGAGAGAACGTGATAAACGGGTACAAAACGGGTCGATTCACAATGGACGACGGTAAACTGAGAGAAAGTAACTTAGAAACTGTTAATGAAAGAATTTTTACTTTCTCTTTTTGATGAAATGTATCAACTTCATTTTATCGAAGATTTTCTTCAATTTCTTTAGTTCATGAAAATAGTACCAACGTTTAAAAAGTAAATAAAATAATAACCAAATTAATTTAAAATTCAGATTAAATGCTGATTACGTCTTGTAAATAATTTCAAATGTAATTTACAAATTTATATTGTTTTAGGTGATTATATTTAATAAATTTAATCTAACAGTCTGATCTAATCTGACAGTAATATATCGTGAAATACGTTGATTATAATGAGAGATCATATGATCAATTGTCCATTATTGTTATTATAAAATATATCGATCCTAAAACACTAAAAATTAGGTAAAATTACACCGTCCATTATAATCAACGTTGGGCTATTGTTATCAATTGTGATAATTACCCTCGAGTGACAAACGATAAGTATTCATAAAAATTTCGTACTAAACAGATACTATCTTCAAACTTACTTGTAACTGAAGCATGCCTTTTATCTTTTACATGTCGTAAAAGCAAGAGAAGAATTCTTAGGAAATACCTGTCTTGTAGGTTATTACTTGAAGTCTTTCTTCGGAGCTGAACAAAATGACTAAAGTAAAGGTTTTATCTTTGTTAAAAGTCGTACTTATACTTATTGTATTTTTTATTAAAAGTAAATAACCGTCGGCCATGTTCGTATTTCGTAGAGATCATTCTCTGGATAGTGAATATTCTGTTCTTTGTAAGGTTAATCGATGTCATTTTTCACTGTTTACGAGTTAAGTATATGTACTGTACAAAGAAAGTGCTTTAGAAAAGTGAATAGTAAATGCATTGATATCGAGTTATCTGTCGTTCCAATACAGTATTTTCAAGAGGAAGAAAACTTACGTAATTAATCATTGGTAACTCTACATCACTAATAACACGGTATTTACCCATCAAGAGATGTCTTTTACGTAATCGAATTTATAAAAAATGAAAACATGAAATTTAATTCAGTAATTATTCTTTTTAAATTATTAGTAAATACGTACTGTTTCAGGATATTTGAATTTCAAAAATTCTGCAAATCTGACACCAATTATTAAGATTAATATTACAGTATATTAAAATATATTATTTACTGAAAATCCAACGCGAAGTAGGTCAATAGCGATATACTAATACACTATACTAATAATTTATTTTTTCATACTTTTCGGTTATCCGTTTTTTCAGTTATCCGACCAACCCCAGTCCCCAATTAAGTCGGATAATCGATACTCTACTGTAATTACAAATATAATTTAGAAATTTATATTGTGATGTGAATTATATATTTAAAATTTAATTTACAACAATATAACAGTAATATATCATGAAATACGTTGATTATAATGAGAAATCNAAAAGTTGGATTCGGAGTCGGAGTTGGAGTCGGTAGATTTTTACGCGACTCCACAGCCCTGGTTATAAGATACATACTGCAATGGCAATAAAATATTAATTTTAATTAATTCAAAGTACGTTAAAATATGAAAATAATCACACAATACTTATATTTATATTTTAGAAAATACAAGGAAAACGGCGTTTTACTGCTTCCACGGACGTCACGCCACTGATATATAAATACTGTATATGGTTTACTTTTAATATTAATTTTATTATTAATTCTACTCCAGAGAGAACGTGATAAACGGGTACAAAACGGGTCGATTCACAATGGACGACGGTAAACTGAGAGAAAGTAACTTAGAAACTGTTAATGAAAGAATTTTTACTTTCTCTTTTTGATGAAATGTATCAACTTCATTTTATCGAAGATTTTCTTCAATTTCTTTAGTTCATGAAAATAGTACCAACGTTTAAAAAGTAAATAAAATAATAACCAAATTAATTTAAAATTCAGATTAAATGCTGATTACGTCTTGTAAATAATTTCAAATGTAATTTACAAATTTATATTGTTTTAGGTGATTATATTTAATAAATTTAATCTAACAGTCTGATCTAATCTGACAGTAATATATCGTGAAATACGTTGATTATAATGAGAGATCATATGATCAATTGTCCATTATTGTTATTATAAAATATATCGATCCTAAAACACTAAAAATTAGGTAAAATTACACCGTCCATTATAATCAACGTTGGGCTATTGTTATCAATTGTGATAATTACCCTCGAGTGACAAACGATAAGTATTCATAAAAATTTCGTACTAAACAGATACTATCTTCAAACTTACTTGTAACTGAAGCATGCCTTTTATCTTTTACATGTCGTAAAAGCAAGAGAAGAATTCTTAGGAAATACCTGTCTTGTAGGTTATTACTTGAAGTCTTTCTTCGGAGCTGAACAAAATGACTAAAGTAAAGGTTTTATCTTTGTTAAAAGTCGTACTTATACTTATTGTATTTTTTATTAAAAGTAAATAACCGTCGGCCATGTTCGTATTTCGTAGAGATCATTCTCTGGATAGTGAATATTCTGTTCTTTGTAAGGTTAATCGATGTCATTTTTCACTGTTTACGAGTTAAGTATATGTACTGTACAAAGAAAGTGCTTTAGAAAAGTGAATAGTAAATGCATTGATATCGAGTTATCTGTCGTTCCAATACAGTATTTTCAAGAGGAAGAAAACTTACGTAATTAATCATTGGTAACTCTACATCACTAATAACACGGTATTTACCCATCAAGAGATGTCTTTTACGTAATCGAATTTATAAAAAATGAAAACATGAAATTTAATTCAGTAATTATTCTTTTTAAATTATTAGTAAATACGTACTGTTTCAGGATATTTGAATTTCAAAAATTCTGCAAATCTGACACCAATTATTAAGATTAATATTACAGTATATTAAAATATATTATTTACTGAAAATCCAACGCGAAGTAGGTCAATAGCGATATACTAATACACTATACTAATAATTTATTTTTTCATACTTTTCGGTTATCCGTTTTTTCAGTTATCCGACCAACCCCAGTCCCCAATTAAGTCGGATAATCGATACTCTACTGTAATTACAAATATAATTTAGAAATTTATATTGTGATGTGAATTATATATTTAAAATTTAATTTACAACAATATAACAGTAATATATCATGAAATACGTTGATTATAATGAGAAATCATATTATCAATTGACCATTATTATTATTATAAAACTAGCAGGTAGGACCAGCATTGCTCGGGAAAAAGTAACGATAACTAAGATAAAGATTATTACACTACAGTCAACCTTACCCGGTTTTCACAGAATGCAAGAATTGGGTTTCCAGACTAATTAGAGAATTTTTATATGGGTCTAAAAATATGTTCGATTTCCCTCAAAAACGAAAAAAACTGCATCTGCGTCTTGCACGTCGCTTTCTTTTAACAATTTCATTGTTACGTAACGCTTCCATTATTACTTAAAACTTCCATTGTTGATGGAAGTATTAAGCCTTAATCCTGTCCCTCTCCTTCGTGGGGAAAAATTTCGAAAAATCCCTACTTAGTGTGTGCGTTCTCGTAACGTACCATAACTGCGTACCAAATTTCAACTCTCAACTTTTAACAGTTTGGGCTCTGCGCTTATTATTATTATTATTATTATTAAACCATCTCGATTATATATTAGATATATCGGTCTTAAAACACTAAAAATTAGATAAAGTTACACTGTCCATTATAATCAACGTTAGGCTATTGTTATCAATGGTAATAATTACTTTCAGAAAACAAACGATAGGTATTGTTAGAAATTTCCTACTAAATAGATCCAATCTTCAAACTTAGTTGTAACTGAAACGTGCTTTTTATCTTTTGCATGCCATAAGGGCATGACAAGAATTCTTAGAAAATACCTGTCCTGTCTTGTAGATTATTACTTGAAGGGTTTCTTCAGAGCTGAACATTTTTGTTGCGATTTTTTCAGTTTAATTTTCTGATCTGTCGAGTTAATGAGTTTTCTTGCAAAAAATGTAAAATATTTGAATGTATAACGTTAAATTAAGTTTACAGTGTGTGATAAATAAAATTGTACACATTTGTACAGCAATTGTTTGTAATAAATTGAGTTCGATAACGAAAAGTTTTTATTTTCTGTTTAATGATATCAGCCGAGTATTGTGATTAAAAAGGCACGTCCCAAATTATCATAAATCGATTTCACTGTACATATAAATTATGTGACCGTAAAAACCTTTGCTTCAGTCATTTCCTTTCGTCGTTCACACCATTCACAGTTTATAAGAATCACAAAACTTATGGAAGAAAATGAATAAAGAAACGTTTTATCTTTGTTAAAAGTTGTACTTATATTTATTGTATTTTTAATTAGATGTAAATAACCGTCGGCCATGTTCATATTTCGTAGAGATCATTCTCTGGATGGTGAATATTCTGTGTTTTTGTAAGGTTAATCGACCTTTACAGTTTACGAGTTAAGAACATGTACAAAGAAAGTGCTTTAGAAGAGTCAATAGTAAATCTATTGATATCGAGTTATCTGTCGTTCCAATACAGTATTTACAAGAGGAAGAAAACTCGTTACAATGGTCGTGTGAATATATTAATACTGTATAAATATTGTAAAAGTTTGACATTTAAAAGGAACTTTCCTCTTTATTCATTTTCTACGACTTGCAGTTTTTCTATCTCACAATATAACAAATTAAAAAATTATATTGTAAAAAGAAAACCACATTTACTCCAACGGGACTCGAAACAACAACTGTGAGAATACAAAACTAACACTCCCAGACCACACCACAGGCCACAAAGTCCATAACGTAAATTATAAAAGCTTTAATTTATTGTGAAGTGACTTCAACGTCATGCTGTTACTCGTAAGCACGTAATGGTCCACTTAGTTATATGCTAATTTCTTAGATACGTATATGTGAGATCACAATAAATACACGTATAAAACCAGTTTTAATGTCGGATATACAGAATATACAAGTAATACAATTAAAAAATTAAGTGCTTCTGCGGGCAGGCGGTGACGTCAAAGTCATGTTGCATCTGCAACCAATTACCGTGATGATTTATTTCTACTGCTAAGCGCGTGTTGTCTCCGTTCTTCGACGTCATACTCGAGAGTTCAGTGCGGAAACGAGCCGAAGAAATGGCGGATCGAGAGGTCCAGAGTCGGTAAGTAGCTTTATTGTTTTCTGTATATAACGTTTCTACATGTGTGGGCGCAAAATAATTTTACATAATTTGCAATTGACTATCTCTTTTATAAAAAAAATTGATGAATGTGATAATGTATAATGTGATAAATAATATAAGTTGATTTTCTGTCTGTTATTTGTACTTATTTCATCACATTTGTTCGGGTCAAATGAACATTCTCTTACTGAATTTTTATATATAAATTTTCTAGAATATTTAAACTAAAAGTATTTAGTTAAAAAAAGTTTCAATTGTCTTAATGATTAAACAAAACTTCACAAAAGCTTATTCCTTTGTGTAAATAACCGTCTGTTTACAATGTTCGAACTCGAGAAATAGACTCTTCCACTTTTAAGGTTCAAAGGATTTAAGTATCAATAGCTTAAAATTTCCCTTCTCTTGTTGAAATTGTGTTTGGTCTTTTAAAGTTTGAGTTAATAAGCTGTGTTCTCTTTTTAATATACAAAGGTTTAATACACATTTTTTTTCTACAAGATTTAATTCGGGTAGTTCAGTGTTTCTCAACATGTAAATCGCGGATCCCTCCGTTCCATTAATTACTAGGTGGGACGTTAAGTTCTAAAATGTAAAAGTGCTATTTATTTGTTTAATTTAATTTAAGGCAGATGAACGAATGAATTAAATAATTACATGTTGTACAAAGATTTGATTAAGATTAATTTGATGTTAAAAATTTTACAATATATTTTGTTGGTAATTATTTACATTAAGATCGTTAAGTAAGTAAAAACAATTGAAAGTAACTTACTCTTGAAAATTGAAAGTAATTTTTACTCTTTTAATTCTGTTTTAAAGAGGCATATTTAATAGACATTTTAAACACAATAAAAATAAAATGTATTTATTTAAAACAACAGATCTAGTACGTGTTAAAGCAGTTATTTGTTTAATGATTTAATGTTCCACATTAAATAACATTACAGAGAAATTCACTTATTCGACCGGTCTACAAAGCGTGAGAAATCATGTTCAGAATGAATATATAGGTACGACAGTGTTAGGTTAGACACTCTTTTCCCTTGTAAGCAACGAGACACCACATAATAACACCCGGCATTAAATAGCCACGAGCAATGCGACTACACGCTAGGTAAGCTTTTAACTGATAACCTATCAGTTAAAGTCTTTTTCCTTTAGTTTGTAATATAAACTTCTAATTATGCATTGTGTGAATGTCAGATGCACACGAAGAGAAAATTTAATTTTTACTTAATTACGGGGCATCGATATCCGTTTATTTAGAACATACGAAAATAGTGTTAATGAAAAGAATACCTAAAGATTTTATCATCTGTTACTGAAAATAACGTGTAATTGTTCATTCTTTGTAAAATTAGACTTTCGTAAGTTGTTTTTGGGTCGAGAAAAAATCATCAGCTTCCTCCTCTTAACGAACTGTTTTAATCACTTTTTACAATGGATGTTGATTGATTAATATTATGTTAGCATAATTGTTTTTACTTTCAAGCTTTAGGCTTGTATAACAAAATATTGGAAAATTTCAGGAAATCGCAGTTTGGGATTAGATTGTCACTTACAACAGTATGCTATACAATAACCTACACGCATAGCAATTCTGAATACGATAGGTTACAGGAAAATCACTTTTTAATTCTGATAGAAGTAGTATCGAATATACATTTATTTAACAAAAGGACCGTCGATACTCCGTCAAAAATCATACACATACACAAAAATCTTTACATTAAAAAAGGTCACTTTGATATTACTATTAATATCTATTGATAATCAAGTACTATCTCCGATCTATCATACAAATTGTCTCCTTTAAAATATGCAGGGATATCTTTATTCTATTAACAGGATTTTAATACAGGCTATGCCCCTCCTTAATCTACTAAAGAGCATATCCCGAAATACTTCTGTGTTCATAGAATAGAGATGTCTTTTCTTTTAAAAAAATGCAGCGTTTTCTGGTACGATAGCTCCTAGAAAATAAAACTTGGATTTTGATGGTTTCGCGATAATCAAGATAATAAGCTAATACAAAAACTTTAATATCTTTTTTTAAAATATTAGTCATGCATTTATTGTTCATACACCATTGTCTGAAATACTACAACTATAACAGACATGTTTGTTTGAAAGTAATAATAAATACCTTTTTTGTTGTTTAGGGTTTCTTCGGGTGAGATACGAATCCGAAACGAAAAAAACGAAGAAATTATTATACCAGAAGCTCAGTTAAATAAAGTCATGAACAGGAATTTGGAACTTCTCATTAAATATTGTGAAAATTCGAAAGTACTGTTTATGCCTTATCCAATCCAGATTATCAAATTATTCGTTACGTAAGTTTTTCACGATACTGACCTTTCATTTAATTTCAATACTTTGTAACACATTATAGTTTATATTTTTTTAAACAGTTATGTACAGATGGACTATCCCGGATTGACCTGTATTACGCAAGCGTTCGATCTGTATCATCTGAGTTCAAGATACGAGTTAGTTGATTTAAGAAGGAAATGCAGATCATTTATCATTCAGCAAATAAACCTGGATACCGTCTTTGCAATCCACGATTTTGCACGTCAGATCGGTGATCTGGTCATACCTTATTATTGCTGGCTAGCTTTCGACCAACTAGGAGAAAGACTATTTACAACAGTCACCTTTATGTGCTGTAAAATTGCAACAATTGATAGACTGTTATCTCGAGCGATATATGAATCAGTCAGTGAGTTGCGTTTACTCGGAGCCGTGTATCAGTGGAGCATAAATGAAGTTAAAAAAAAAATTGGTGAACACAAGTTCCATTCGATGAGTGAAAAATCGAAAAGGAATGCAA